AGAGAGGGCTGGTATCAGGGAAGATGGGAGGAAGGAAGAGGCTGGGGACTCCAAAGAAAGGAAGCTGTGGGAAGGAGTTGAGGTGCATGTACACCAATGCTAGGAGCATGGGTAATAAGCAGGAAGAGCTTGAAGCTTTCCTGGGAATAGGAGGGTATGACCTGGTGGGAATCACAGAAACTTGGTGGGATGAAAGGCAAGACTGGAATTTAAACATAGAGGGGTATCACCTGTTTAGACAGGACAGGAAGGGAAAGAGAGGTGGGGGTATGGCTTTATACGTCAGGGAAGGGATAGGATGCAGTGAGATAGAATGCAGCAAAGATGGGGATTTGGTAGGGGCAGTCTGGGTGAAACTAAGGAGTTTTGACAGCGAAAAGGACCTGACAGTGGGGGTATGTGGTGTAGTGGTTAAGAGCATGGGACTGGGACTCAGAGGATCTGGGTTCGAGTCCCCGCTCGGCCATGGAGCCAACTGGGTGACTTTGGGCCAGTCACAGTCTCTCAGCCCAACCTACCTCACAGGGTTGTTGTTGTGGGGATAAGATGGAGGAGGAGAGATAACGTAAGCTGCCTTGAGCCCTTTGTAGGAAAAAGGCAGGATATAAATCAAATAAATAAATAAATAAACCTCCAGGTCAACTTAAGACCCTGGATGATGTCCTGACAGATCAGATTCTAAGGATATCTTGGTGGAGGGACACAGTAATTACGAGAGATTTCAATCTCCCAGATATTAGTTGGGAGACTCAGCTGTGACAGCCAGGTCACGTCGCTTCCTAGAAGTTATAGAGGGAGAGTTTTTCACACAGAGGGTCCAAGATGCAATGAGCAGGGGGGACATCCTTGACTTGGTCTTGATCAAAAGGGAGGAGCTGACAGATGAGGTACAGATTAGGGGAGCTCTGGATGCAAGTGATCACTCCATCCTTTGCTTTGAGATCAGGGGAATGGGTACGTGCAGCAGGTCGAACACTAGAAGCTGGGACTTCAAGAGGGCCAACTTTGGCCAGTCTCCTGGGATAGGTTACTGGAAGGCAAGGGAGTTGAGGGGTGGATGGCACTCAAAAGAGAGGTTTTGGAGGCACAAGCCTTGACGATACCTCTAGTTAGTAAGGTGGGGAGGTTAAGGAGAATGCCTTCATGGATGCGAAAGGAAGCAGTTAGAGTGATTAGACACAAGAGGAAACTCCATAGGAAATGGGTACTGGGGCAAATAGACAAAAGGGTATACCGGGAGGAGGAGGCCCATTGCAGAAGGATTCTTCGCAAGGCTAAGGCTGATTGTGAGCTGAGACTTGCCAAGAATATCAAGAGCAACCAAAAGGGCTTCTATCAGCATGTAAATAGCAAGAGGAAGGGGAGACAAGTAGTAGAACCACTAAATAAGGAGGAAGGGGATCCAGTAACTGATGTGAGGGAACAGGCAGATGCTAAATAACTGTTTTGCTTCTGCGTTCTCCCCAAAGTAGGATGGGGGCGATCCGCATGGGAGATTAGATGAGGCTGGGGACTTAAGGGCACAGATTAGTCACCCCCCTTGAAGTCGAGGGGCTCCTCAGGGTACTGGACGTTACAAAGTTGTTGGGTTGCGATGGGTTACACCCAAGAGTACTTCAAGAGTTGGCAGGGGTTCTCTCACGCCTGTTGGCCTCCCATTTTTGAGACCTCATGGAGAACAGGTGAAGTTCCAGAGGACTGGAGGGTGGCATCAGTGGTCCCAATTTTCAAAAAGGGTAGTAAAAGGGACATAGGAAATTACAGACCAGTTAGCCTTAAGTCCAATGTAGGACAATGTATAGGGTCATAATAGTGAGCGATCTAGTGATGCTAGATAGGGAAGGGAGACTGGTGGCCACGCAACATGGCTTCTGCAGTAACAGGTCCTGCCAGACAAACCTTGTGGAATTCTATGACAAGGTTTCAAGGTGGGTAGATGGAGGGGTACAGTGGATGTGGATTGCCTGGATTTCAGCAAGGCCTTTGACAAAGTGCCCCATGATATCCTCATTGAGAAAGTGAGTTGTTTTGGAATAGAGCAACGCACTGTCCGATGGATTAGGGCAGGGCTCCTCAAACTTTTTGAACAGGGGGAGAGTTGGAAGGCTGAGGTGACCATCGAAGGCGGGTGAGGTAGGGGGGGCCTGGGGGCACGGGCTGGTGAGGGGCCATCGGGCACACAGGAGGCACATGCAAGGTGGCATGGGGTGTGCAGTGGTGGCTCACTCGAAAATCTCCCATTGAGTCCAAAACCATCTCCGAGTGAGCAAGCCACCAATTCCCCGCCTGTGCAGCAAGCGCACACAGGGGTGGTGAACAGAGGTGCTGGCTGGCTGGATGGCCATGGCAAGCCGGATCCATCCCACAAGCCATAGTTTGAGGACCCATGGATTAGAGCATGGTTGACTGACTGAAAGCAGAAGGGAACCATTAATGGGGAATCATCAGGATGGCAGCCAGTGAAAAGCAGGGTCCCCCAGGGCTCTATCCTGGGCCAATCCTGTTTAATCTTTTCATAAATGACATGGAAGAAGGGGTGAACAGTCTGCTGATCAAATTCGCAGATGATACTAAAACTGGAGCAGTCGCCACAACTGAGGAGCAGGTACTCCAGATCCAAAAGGATCTGAACAGACTATAGAAGTGGGCAGGAGACAACAGGATGGTGCTCAATGTGGGCAAGTGCAAGGTTTTGCACTTGGGGCATAGGAATAGGTGTCATAAGTACAGGTTAGGTGACAGGTGGCTGGAGAGCAGCACTTGTGAAAGGGACCTGGGGGTGCTGGTTGACTGCAGGCTAAACATGGGTCAGCAGTGTGATGCGGTGGTCAAGAGGGTGAACGCCACCCTTGGTTGCATAGCCAGAAGTGTGGCTTCTAGATCAAGAGAGGTATTACTACCACACTATATGACTCTAGTGCGCCTGCAACTGGAGTATTTTGTTCAGTTTTGGGCCCTGTTACAGGAAGGATATAGCCAGGTTAGTCAGTGCAGCGTAGGAGGCGAGACTGATGGAACTGGGTCTTTTCAGCCTGGAGACGACTCAGAGGGGAGCTGTTGGCGACATACAGGTATGTGAGGGGGTGTCACAGGGAGATGGGCAGAGACCTGTTCTCCCCTGCAGAGGAGGGCAGGACGTGCTCCAACGGGGCCAAGCTCAAGGAACCAAGGTTCAATTTGGATGGCAGGAAGAACTTCCTGAGTTAGGACCCCAAGGGTATGGAATGGGCTTCCACGGGAGGTGGCTGAGGCCCCATCGGTGAGGGTATTCAAGGATAGGCTAGACATGCACATTGTGGGCATGTCATGAGTGGAGCTGACTGGAGCCAGGGGTCAGACTAGATGGCCCGGGAGACCCCTTCTGACTTGTTTTTTTTTTAAACAAGCAGCTTATGAGAAAAATATGAAAAATCCTGGGCTCTGTTAACAGTTTTATTCTTGATGTTATCCGGATTTAGATTTTATTGAAAGCAGCCACATCCATTGACTGTACATAATCTTCAAACGCAGTGATCTTCTCTTCTAAGAGATCAGTTCCAACTTTATCATCTTCTACTACACACTGAATTTGAAGCTTCTTGATTCCATAGCCAACTGGAACCAGTTTGGCTAGAAAGAAAATAAAACAGATGTTAGAACTGATGTCCTATACTACCTAAGTTTTTGTATAACAATGCTCATGAGGGGATAGGAAAATTCTGCCCCTGTAAACTTCTTGGTGGGGGCAGACACACACTTGGTGCTCTCATCCAGTGCTTGGAGCACAAAGTCTGATTTTAATTTAAATATTTTTAGTTAAAGCATCCTTCATGATGCTTTATGGTGCAGAGATTTGGAGGAAGCTACTGAGAGGGTGGCACACCCAATCTCTGCAACAAATTCTAGCACTTCCTAGAAGGACTGCAGCAACTCCAGCTGGCAGCTCTTCTATTACTGCAAGAAAAGGTCACTGTTTCTGCTAAGATTTCATTAAAACATTTTGATCCTACTGGGCCAGCAAAGTTGGCATATACCAGCAAAAAGACAAAGCAAACACAAACATAAAGAAGTCACTTTTCTACAACCAAGTGGGGTGGGGGAGAATAGTCCTGGGAAATTGACAAGCCTGTTAAGCTTTATCAAACATCTCTGGGCTGGGTGCAGAGAGAGCGCACGCGCGCGCACACACACACAAAAAATCAGATCCCAAATCAGAGCCCAGTGTTTTGTTTTGGATGCATGTAGTACAGAATCTGACAGATGTCTGCATTTGAGACTAGTTCACAAAATAAATGGTTTGCACACAATGCCCTCAACACCTTAAGAAATACCACCACCACTTTTCTTCTCACCACTTACTGCCTTGCAAGGCAAGCTCCCATCCCACTGGAATCACAACTGCAGGCAGGCAGTTTTTAACTTATTGTCCAAAAGATGCAGTAAAGGAAGTTTTGGAAACCACACTCCTGCCTGCATCTCAAGACTGTCCCAAAGGCAGGTAGAGGGGGACTATGGTGCCCGCTAGATTCCATAATCCATTTCAGAATGTTGCTGAAATGCTGGCAAATGCAATTCAGCAGAGAAACTTAGTGGTTCCACAGATGCACAGTTGTCACAACGGCCACCCCCATCAGACGCTCCCAGTGGTTTTTCAGTATGGACAAAGATTGAGTGCTACTGCCTGATTAACTTTGCATGGGAAGAAGTTCTCATGACTCCAGCTTAAGTGCATGGGCCCTCGTGCACGCAAAGCACTTGCTTGACCACTGTGCCACGACATTTCCATCACAGGTCAATTACTTACAAGAGCCCCAAACCAGGCCATCAGCCTGAATGCTTCTGACACACTCCTCCAGTTTGGCCATGTCTGTCTCATCATCCCAGGGCTTCACATCCAATAAAATGGAGGACTTGGCAACAAGAGCCGGCTCTAGAAAAGAACAGCTCAGTAAGAACAGCAGAGTAGACTGTTCTAATAAAACCAAGGACTCACCGCAAAAGCATGGTTGCAAATTTTTCAAAACATTCCAGCAAAATGCATATAGTTCCAGTTTTTCAGGAAGCTGGTGGTGGAATACTAGAAAATCCAAGACTATGACAAATAGAGATGGTCCTGTCTGTTACACTGAAATTCTCTTCCCTTGATTGAGAAAGGAGCACTACACAGTGTAACTGATCATTTCCCACAGTTGAAATACTGCAACCGCTACAGTACAGAACAGTTCCAGTCCAGTAGCTGTGGAATTCTTATGGTTACTACTTCAGTATTTCACCATCAGCAGCAAAAAACAAACAAACAGGATTGGCCTGAAGCAAATTCTCCCACTACTTTCATACCACTGACAGTATGTAGCACTGTTTTTAAGATATTTTAGGATTGCAAGGGGAGGCTAAGTTACACTATTAAAACTAGTCAAATATGTATACTGAGTCTGAGTTATAATGGGCTTAATCTAAGAAGTAATTCAAAGTGAGTAAATTGAAAGATCAAAGGACTCATTAACATACTTTTGGCTTTCTTGGATTCATACTGAGCAAGCCGTTCCTCCCTTAATCTTTTTGCTTCTTCACTTTCCTGCAGAAATGAAAAAGGTTAAACAAAACAAGAAATTGTTTCTACAGGCATTTGCTTGGAACACAAGTGTGCTAGAACAAGTGATAAGGAAACCTAAATATACTAAGGACTCAGTAAATTCGTGTTTCTATGCAGATAGACTCTTTGAGTGCACTCTGGCTAGTAACTGGTGCTTGCTGCAGACCTACCTGTTCAATGCCTACAAGCTATAGAATCTGATGAAGTACGTTGTAGGCCACAAAAGCTCATCTTTAGGTATTTTAATAAGTTAGTAACTGAAACAATGTATCTATGACCCAGTTCCATGATTGTGGTGGCTTGTTTAAGCAGCAACAGGTGCTGGGCTGATATACCTAATCACCCACTGAGATGTGGCTTGGTTTGTCATAAGCGGCATGGCTTGTTGGAGGAGAAAACAACCCCCAAATACCCCATATCACAGGCCATGGATTACTAGTGGAGTGTTGTTTCTTTTCCAATTGGACAAGTAACCCAGGTTTAGATGACGTGACAACTTGTGCCAAAATGAGTGATTAGGCAAATAGCATATGTTGGGGCATAAACAAGCTACCACAACTTGCTTAAACTGTGGTAATCACATGAGCTGAGCCTATGTGCACGGCATTTAACCCTTTGATTTGTAGAGAAGGGTAACACAGTTACATCATTACATTGTTTCTATATATTGATCAAGTACAACTGGATTGTTCAGGTAAAACAAATCATCATACATTCAGCTGAAAGATGGTGATTTGGCTATGTTCATCATGTCACCAGTTAAAAACCTGTGAAAGACTGTGCAAGCTGCTCATGAGAACTCATTACAACAATGTATGGTCTCATTCCAACATGCATTTGAAATCTATGTTGAAGACACAAAGATATAGTAAGCTCATGTGTGCAGATCACACACAAAATTGTGTAACCTGGTGCAACAGAAAAGCTACAGGATTCTGGGTACCTCTTCTTCATCAGAGCCAAATAGATCGATGTCATCATCATCTTTACTATTTCCAACTGCACCCGTTGTGTCTTCAACATCTGCAGGGCCGTATTTTCCCAAAGCCTTCTTCACACCAGGCAGACTAGAAAAACAGACAGCACTTTATTATTCCTAGTGCTCTCCTACCAATCCTATGCACTGCAAAACAGCAAAAGGGAACCCCAATTAACAAAGGCTCCCCCTTAACTCTGCTGACCTTTCAAAGGCAAGATATCCGTTGCCCATTATGAAGGCACTAGCCACCCAGCTTAGGGACTAGCACAGCAAGATGCTAATAAGGTGGCTGAATGAAGTGCACACCTTCAGACTGCAGGCACGTGCAATTCCGCAAATGGAGTCCTGCACAATAGGGGATGTTGCTGTGGGGCAGGGTGAGAGAAATTCTAGTCCTTTTGGGCTGTATTTTTGGTTTGCACCAAGTCTTCAACACTGAATTACAATCAAACGGGGTATTTTTTCCCCAGGTGCAGTCTGAAGCGGTGCAGCCCATACGATCACCTCATTCTGCTACAGAGGAAGGGCCAGACCGCAACAGAAGGTTTATCACAATAAAATATTTTCCTTCTACACCCTAGTTTTTCTCAAGGTGTCTTCATAACTACATCTCTTTGGCCTCGATTTAGGTTCACAGTTGCTCTGGCAAACTATACAATACCCTCTGTGCTACAGTTGCATCCAAGAAGTGGCAAACCTGAACAAGACTATGCTATCTGAGTACCCTGAGAAAACCACAGGGTTCTCTTTAGGAGTCCACACAAGTGCCTCATAAGCCCTAAACCTTTCTGGTCCCCCTTTTTTGGTGGTGGGGTGTTAAACAGTCCATTAGATGTTTTCTCACCCACTTGGGAGTTTGCTCAGATTTGGTTCAAACTTTTAAAAAGCACTTCCCAATGTTATACTAGACAGGTCTTTTTTAAATGGAGGAAGCACAAGCCATTTTTATTGCATAAAAGGAGCTCCATCTGGTGCCTGAAAGTATGGAAAGTACTACACAACACTGGATCTCCTGCGTACTGTGATGAAGCCACAGGCTTATTTTTGAAGAGCCTTAGTTAACAGCTGAGTAGACTCCCTGTTTACATTTGACTGTACAAAGAATTATTTAGAACCTTTTACTGCAACCATTGCTAGAACTATCAGCCCTGTTTCACGTAAAACCTTTTTCCTCAGCCCAGCTTCAACAATTACACTGTTTAAATACTCTTAAGTCAAATCCTTACAAACAAGAGACTTTAATATTAAAGACTAAATTTCTACATAATTTCTATGCAGATGAAGGTGAAAATTCAGTCATCCCTACTATTGTGCTTAAGTGTTTGAGAAGACAAAGAAGAGAGAAATTGCCCTATTTTAATCCCAAGGAGCTTGATCTAATTAATCGCAATGATGGGACAGAAAAATGATACTGTAAGTGAATCACCTTCCTTGAGTAAGACCTCTGTTTCTAGGAATAGCATTTATTCATTTATTGAATTTATACACCACACCCAACAGTCCCACACACAACTCCCTGGGCAATAACAGCCTCTAAAAAAGGTAACAAGTACTTCACCATCACCCTTACATATAAACCTTACAGCTGACATTAATGCAGCTTAGCTTCAGCATGTAACATTGAAGTTATTGTCTCAATATGACCAATAATAATGCATTAAGATGCAGGGGCAGCATCAGGAACTTTTGAAAAGTAGGATTTAGGACAGATTCTGCAATCCCTGCACAAAAGTAAAAATGAAACAAAGTGAATCCTACCCTGCCTTCTGCTTCTCGTAAGACTTAATGTGGTTGTACCATCGGAGTGCATGGTAGAGCTCTGCAGGAGGGGGAGCACCAACAGCTTCAAATACTGCAACATCTGCCTGGGATGGGACATACCTATGAGAAGATGTATCCAGGGTGAATGGGATTTAAGACAGCAGTTATGAATTAATTACAGCAAGTCATTCAAGTTTACTCCCAAATAATGAATTCCTACAAAATCTGAGGAAATATTCTAGCAACGATTTTTTTTTCAAGCAAATCTGCAACAAACTTTTGGTCACACAGAAAGTTCAGACAGCTATGCAGGCACTTTGGGCACTTTGCCAGTTGCATCAGCTAGAGCCCCATGTCAAAGAACATTTTTTGGCTTGGCTGTGACTTAGCTAAACCAAACTGGGTAGTTAAACACTAGCCCAAGCCATGGGAAACCATTTAAAATTGCAAACCAACCACTTTGGGTGCCTAGGTAGAAAGATGGCATCGAAATGCATTAAACAACTCAGTGATTACATGACAATGTAGATGAAGCACTGTGAACATTCTGATGTATGGATGCTTGTTATTAAATAGATAAGCTGTTCCCTTGCAGCATCTCAGGCTGGTGCAAGTGCCTCTGAACACACAACACCGCATTTTAAACTCAACACGGATAGCCAAAAACACAGAAGCATTGTCCACAGCCCCAAAGCTATTTCCCAGGGCCAAGTGTTAACTGGTGTCAGTAGGCTTTGTCTCCCCATTTTTGCCTCATGCAGGGGGCAATTTTCAAGGAAGACTGCTGCCCTTCCCTCATGTAACCCCCTAACTTCCTCTCACAATGTACTGTGCCTCCCCCAAACCCCCTTCCACATGGTAACTAGGCTTAAAACAAACTTTACGAATTGTACCTTCCTAAACTTTAAGACTGCAGCAAGAGTGGTACAGCTTCTTCTGATTTTTGTGTGCCCTAGATTGGGGTGCAGGGGCAGTAAAAGACCTGCTCCACCTGTGTCTTCTGATATGGATGCGTACTGAGATTTGAAGTTACAAGTCCCCAGAAATTACAGAGAAAAGGGAAGCAAGGACCATGGCCCCACACACTCCACCTTTTCTCTTTTCTAGGCTCTTTCCTTCTCCCTGATCTCCAACCCAAAACTTTCCATCCTCCTCGCTTTCCACCATGCACCTCTACTTTCCTAATTTTACTTTTTATAGTATTTTTATCTTTCAACAACAACAACAAAAAAGATTCACAAGGAGATAAAAACACTGTCCCTACTTATAATCTAAAGTGGACAACATCCACACTTCCTTTTTCCCCTCTAACCCACTCTTCCCATCATATACCCAGCATTTTAAATCATCCCCATTGAATTATGCACTACTTAATTTTATTCCAAATGCATGCGTAGTATCTACTAGTCACTTTTCTCTGCATTCTTCCTATACCTATTGTAAATTGAATTTAAAATTTATTAAATTGGAACGATCTGTAGCATGGTGCAAATTAATGAAATGATTTAGTTTAAACTAAGTTGATTAAAGTTTTCCACATTTGCTTTCAAGTGGTATTTAAATAAACCCTAGTCATTAGTTTAAAATTGCGTATATAGATCTAAATTAACCTATATTCAAAATCAGTGTTATAACTCGGGCCCAGATTCCGAAACTTTTAAGTGCCTAGCCAGGCTGCTGGTTAAAAAGAACTCTCTCTCCTGCGGACGATGAATTTATTGTCTTTGGAAGGGGCTGTGCATTTTGAAGCACTGGGAGGTTAAGTCCCCGGTTTCTAGGTTGAGTCGCCCTGCCGCGAGGGCCCGCTTAGGATGACGCGAAGGCCCATGAATAGCCAGCAGGCCCGGAAAAACCCGGAGGGAAGGCTCCGACCAGGCACGGGACTGAAAGACCCGCGCGAGCTCACCCCTCGATGTAGCTCCTATCCGCTAAGAAGGTGTTGAGCAGCTGAAGCCCCGCGGCCGATTTCAAGTCCCCAAAGCCCATGACGGCGCCGAGGAGGCAGCAGAAGGTGACAGAACAAGCTCAGGCGCCCGGCACGGCCGTCCTAAAAGGCTCTACTCACCCGCCGCGGCTCTTATATATCCTGAGAGACGGAAGCCGCAATGCCTCCGCGGAGGCGGAAATTCCACTCACCGTATCCTTCCGCCTCTCGCTGAGCCCTATCAAGCGCACACTTATTCCACGCACGAGGCGAAGGTTTTAAAGTCGGAGGGTACAAATTATAACAGGAAGACGTCACTACCGCCAACGACACCGAGGGAGGAGTTATTGTTGCCCAGCCCCCGCCCTCACAGAAAAAAAAAAAAACAGGAGAAAAGGAAATTGCGTAGTTTTTTGTCAGCTGGTCCGAAGAGTCGAAGATTACCGAGCGCGTCACGGAAATCGCCGAGGCCGCCGCCATATTATCTCAAAGGAGAAGGTTCGGGAGGCGGCGGTGGTGGCTTGCAGGTCGCTAGGGCCGGAGCCCCCCGGCCGCGGAGGAGGAGGTAATGCGAGGGTGGGCAGCGAAGAGCCTTAGAGGCGCTTCTGTCCTCGCCCCCTCAGCGCCGTGGGGGAAGCCTCTCGGTGGGCAGGGACGGGCGCTCCTCCTAACCAGCGCGGCGCCCTTGGCTGGGGGACGGCTGCCTCGGTCCCCTCTCGGCGTCCTTGCGGCCTGCCGCTGACCTTCCTCGTTTGGAGCGCCCCGCTGTGGTGAAGGCCGGAGGGCTTCCTTCAGCGCCCCCCTCCCACCCCCCCGGCGTTGGTGCATTAATACGAAACGAAGGTCTTGCGGGCCCGTTAAAGACAAGTGGGTTTATCGCAGCATTAGTTTACCTGTTGGGAGAGGCCGTTTCATCAGGTGCATTATCCTCAGATAGTTGAGAAAGAGGCACAAGGAGTGCGGGGAAATGTATTGCAAACGGTGGGGCTGGAAAAGCACGCATGTAAGTGGTCTGCAGAGAAGAAACGTACATGGGGGAAGTGACGAATTCACAGTCGGTGGTGGTAATCCTCATTTGCTAAGAGAAACCCACGGTCCAGATTAAACCTTTGTTGAACAGAGTCCGATTTCTTGGGAAACTCAGATCCAGCAGTTGAGCATTGCAAGTTCCCTTTGAAGACTTTTATGCCATTTGAGTTCAACTGCCGATTGCTCTTTGAAATTCGCAGTGCTTCTTAGTGAACTTCTTTAAGATTGCTGCTTAAATTCCACCCCTCCCCGCTCCTGAAATGTCATTGAAAATGCCAGGTTTGTGTTGCCTTGTTTGTAAACCATCTCCCCTGCTGAGATGGCAGAGCATTTGACGGAATTGCAGTGGTACCTTGTTTCACGAACTTAATCCATTCCATGACTCTGGCCACAAACAAAGTCAAATTTCCCCATAAGGTTCAATGTAAGTAAGGTCAATCCATTCTAGAAATATTTTTATCACAAAAATTTGAAACAAAGTGACAAAGAACAACAAAGTAACAAAGTACAGTACAGTAGAGAACACTAACCTGGGTGGGGGGAGGTAATTGTTTGGAGGGAGAGTCCAAATGATAATCGTGTGATAGCAATCACACTTGGTGGGGGGGAGATGGCCGCAGTTGTGCTCATGCAGGGAAGATGGCTGCGATCACAATCATGTTTATGCAGAAACGGCCATGATTGTGGTTGTCACCTGATGCGGAGTTTGTGACCTGAGGCAAAATTTTTCTGAAATGTTTGTTCATGAATTTGGTTGTGAACTGAGGCGTTCATGAACCGAGGTACCACTGTATAAACAGGCTGCATGTGATAGAACAAAGTGCCAAACCCAGTTCCCTCTTTTCTCCTATTGTAAGTATATACTGACAAGGTTGATGGGACTGGTTTGGAATTGGAATCTTATCTCTACAATATTTGCCAGTTATTCTGCAATAATTTACATCCTACTCTACTGTAGTGGGAATGTTTACGACATCTAGCCATTTAGTCATGTGCTCTCTTCATATTATTGTGCATACTGGTAGTAAGTACAAAGGTGCTGCTGTACCTTTCTATAGTAGCAGTTTTGCAAAAGCGATAATTGAAAATTAAGGGCATGCTCTTTTGCTGAAATTCCATATTTCATCTTCTGCATGTGTATTCAAGGTGGGAACCCTGCTCTGTATTATATGTGGTCACTTTAGCAGCCTACTCCAAGATGTGTGGGATCTAGTTATTGATAACAGAAAACTTTGGTGTGTTGGTCTTGGCTCAATTTAAAACACCTCTGTGCTATTAAAACCTAAGTAGTTGACCTATGTAGAGTCTCTGCTTAAGGTTGCACTGCAGGCTGCACTTTTTTATGAGGAGGGGAATATTGCTATAGATTTCTTTATTCATCTTCTTTCCAGGGCAACAGAAGTAGCTAATACACATCCTAGAACTATCAACACTCTCCTGGTAACTTAACAGCTGTTTGCATCCATCCACTTGTACTTCATGTTCAGAAGATTGTTGTGGCTAAGTTGTGTTGTAGTTTAGTACTGCAGAGGATGCTGCAACTGATTGTGGATAGAACATATCGTAAGCCGTCCTGAGATCTTGTATAATAGGACAGCATACAAAAGTTTTTAATAAATAAATAAATATACATTACAAAGCAGTTTGGACATGTATTATTAATGTAGGTTATAACTGTTATTAATTTTATTTCAATACAGCCCAATATCCAGAGCACTCTGGGTAGTGTACAATTGATAAAATACAATATAAAATATAAAACCCAGTAAAAACTAAGTTTCACAAGATATTAAAAACATTTATAGCAACTTAAAGAGCTAAGATAGTTGATCATACCACCTCACCAAGTGCTGTTTAGAGCTGTTAAATGCCTTGCAGTAGAAGGAGATCTTAGCCTAGTGCTGGAAGGAGTTGTAAAGTTGGTGCCAGGTGAGCAGAATAATTTCATAATTTGAGAATAACCACAGAGAAGGCCTTCTTCTTGTTGTCACCATGAGCCACCCTGGAGGATGGCCTCAGATGTTGAGTGTAGATTGTGTTTGGGAGAAATGTTTTGTCAAGTATTGCAGCTACATAGCCCTGAACTATGTACAACTTTAAGTTAAAAGCAACACCTTGAAATAGGCTTAGAAGTACATAGGCAGCCTATGCAAGTGGACCAGAACTGGTGTTACTTTCTTGGACCTTCTTTGGTACACTTCGAAGGGTATCTGACTTTCAGAAGTGCTGCATTTGATTTAGCACTTTTCACTGAGCCATGAGAACTTCAGTAGTGGCAACACTTATTTATTTATTTATTTATTAAAACATTTCCATGCTGCCTCGGGGCGGCTCACAGCACAAATAAAATACAATAAAATATAAAAATAACAATATAAAATTAACAATATAAAATAAATAACAATATAAAAGAAGTCGCCCTGGCCAGATAAGTAGCTGGAAGTAGCTTATTCATAAATTTTCATACAGTGCTAAGGCAGCAATGATGGAAAAGGATAGCAAGAACAGTATATGTAATACCTGTTACCTGCCCAGCAGGAACTAGTCAGTGGGATCATCCTACAGGGCAGTGTCAGAACAATTGATGAACTGTTTAAAGTTAGCCATGTGAAAACCCTGCTTGCAAAGTGTTCTCTCAAGTAGTTCAAACATTTGTATGTGTTTCTGGATGAAGAGCCATATTGTACATGACTGATTAAGGAATGAAGCTGCAAAGAGGGGAAGAAAGCTGCAGTGTTTTATAACACTTCTTGCCTACAAATGTGCTCTGGTTTACATCCCCAGCTTTAAACAGCCCAGGTGGACAGGTTTGCAGTTGTCTTATTCGCCTTTTTGTTGGGGCAAAATGGATGAAACCCTTCAGAAAAAAAGAATGAGTTAAACTTAGAGTATTGTACCTCTTCTGTGTATGATGTTTTGTCTTGGAAACGTCATCTGTCTGATACTCAGCTTGAAAAAATAAGTAAGCAGCCGTGTGGCATTCCTGGGTCTTTCTGCTTTCAGAGCACCACACATTCCAATTATTTGAAGAGTTTGAGCTACAAATCAGTGTATATCCAGATTGTAGATTAGTGTTTGATTAAGGTAGTGAGTTCTCAAATAATACAGGATAGAAAATAGTATATAGATGTATTTCATATTTATTTATTAATTTATTAAAAGCTTCTGTATGCCATCCTATCCTACAAAATCTCAGGACGGATTACCATGTTTAAAAACAATTGAAAACAACAATTTCAATAAACAGAACAAAACAAATCATGAAACAGAGCAACTAAACTTAAAAGCTGTTAATTTTAAAATACTGTTTAAATAAAAAGGTTTTGGCCTGGTGCTGAAATGAGTATGAACTTGGCACCAGGTGTACCTCTCTGGGAAGTACATTCCAGAGTCTTCATTTCATTTTCATTTCATTTCAGAGCGATTTCATAGAGATGAATCACAGAAGTATTCAGTCATAATTTTGCATTTCAGGTCCACAGAATGTCCTGCTTCAGTTTTTTCAGTGACGTTAGTAGCAGACCTGCAATTACTGTGCGCGCACATGCACTTACATGTAGAATCCTTGCATTAAGCATCGCTATGCAAAATGTAGACATTTCTTTGCTACTTTAGCATAAATAGAGAATAAGGATATGTCTGAATCTTATGTTTGTGAGAATGGGCAGTATCCAGTGTGATACTAGCTATCCATAAATTACCTCTAGCACCACAGTAATAGCCTGAGCTGGCAAAATGGAATTTTTAGGAAAATGCTTTGGACTAGCTAATGCTATTGGTGTTGCATTAGAGGTTATTCATTCTGGGGCAACTTAATTACATTAGTGTTAATGCTTCACTGGATAGCTGTGTATATCTGCGTAAATATTGGAGGTGTCTAATAGCATTGGTGTAAAAATATACTTTAAAAACCTTGCTTAACTTGCTCTTTTCCGTTCTTAACAGTCTAACTCAGAAAGCTATTGCTTGAACTTTATCTTAATGTTTAATGTTAACATTTCTCTCCAGCACCATGTTGCGACTCCCTGCTGTCCGCAAGGCCATAGCTGGTGTCACTCAGAATACTAAGGGATGCAGTAAGTTGCCTTTTTATATTTACATACGATAATT